GGTGCTGGGGAGGGAGCGTCGGGGAGCGGAGGCGCTGGCGGGGGGAGACTCCCGGGAGCCGCCAGGGCGCAAACGTTCCCCGGAGAAGGGGAGGGGCGCGGGGAGACCAGGAAGACGGCTGGCGCTCAGGAGATCGAGGAGAGCAGCGGGGCTGCAGGAGGCGGGACCGGGGCGGCGGCGGCGGCGGCGGCGGAGGCTCTACCTCCGCGCTCGGCGGCCCGCGGGTCTGGGCCGCGACGGCAGCTGCTCGGGCGCGTCCCTGGCGTCCGCGGCCCGGACGCCGCTCCGACCTCGGCCGCCGTAAACATCCGCCGCCGCCTCTGCGCCTGCGCGCGACGCGGCCACACTGCGCCTGCGCCGCGGGTTAAAGGGGCAACGGTGAGGGCGCTTAAAGTGGCTACGCCTCCGTGGAGGGGGTTGTTTTGCAGGGCTAGCTGGCTGAGCCTCACCTGGGGTCTTTGCCTTCTCGGCCTAGTGACCTCGAGGGCAGACGACACTGGGAGGGGTGTCGGCGGGAGAAGGGGCCTCTGTCTCGGGGCACGAGGGAGAAGCTGTGGAGCCGGAGCCCGGCGGCAGGGGCGGTGGGGCCGAGAGGGGACCGAGGTTGGCTCCAGGACATCGCCCCTGTGCAAGTGACTCGCAGGGACAGAGGCAGAAATGAGGAAACAGGGCGTCGGGGTGCGCCACGTGTGGTGCAGAACGGGAAGGACTAGTCGCTGCAGCAGGACAGAGCTGAGCTGGGCTGGGGTGGCCGCCTCCACACCTGAACCAGCTTTTGTGTGGGCCTCTGCAGAGGAACACGCTGCCTGAGCCTGGTTCAGAGCCACCTGTCCAGACTGCTTTCAGTTTTGTTCTTTCAGTTCAAGTGAGAAATTGAGGCCTGTTCCATGACCTCTCCTTCGCGCCAAACGCTTGGAGACTGTAGATTGAAGATGGTAGCATCATGTGATGAAGGAGCCTAGACTCCTGAGTCAAGACGTGTAAGAGAGTCATTCAGTCTGCAATGAATTGTGATATGAATTAGGGGGGGGAATGATGATACAGTTTAACAAAGAAACAGTTTATGTGGGAAGACAAAAGACCCAGAATAGTTAACACATTAATGATGGAAAAGAACAAAATTGGACAACTGCTGCTACCTGATTTCAAGACTTATTAGAAAGTTACAATAATCAAGACAGCGTACTATTGGGGGGAGGGGGGGAGAAATGCCTAGATGAGTAGCACAGAATAGAAAGCCCTGAAATAGACCCACACAAATGTTGTCAGTACTTCTTTGATAAAGGAACAAAAAATTCACTGGAGAAAGGGCAATCTTTTCAATAAAAGATGCTGGAACAGCTAAACATTAACAAACCATAAAGGGCCAGGGGGACAATCTAGATACAGATGTCACTTTCCACATGAAACTTCTAGAAGATCATATAGGAGAGGATCTAAGTGATCTCGGGCCCAGTGATGAATCTTTAGATGTGTGAGCCCATGAGAAAAAAATTGGCAAGTTGGATTTCATTTTAAATTCTGCTTTGTGGAAGAAACTGTTAAGAGAATAAAAGCCACAGTGTACTGAAAGAAAATATTCATCACTTATTTGATAAATGACTTTTAAAGAACTCTAAATTAAAAACAATAAGAAAACAATATAATTTTAAAATTTACAAAAGCTCTAAACAGATGCTTCAAAAGAGTAAATATATAGATGGATGCTCAATATCATAAGTTAGGGAATTGCAAATTTATAAAACAATGAGGTACCAACACACATCTATTACAATGGCCAAAATCTGATACACTGACACCACCAAATGCTAAGGAGGACAAGGAGCAACAGCAGTTTCCATTGCTGGAGGTAATGCCAGATTTTCAATAAGGCCACTTAAGTAGACAATATGGCAGTCTTACCATAAGGTCCAGTATTTGTGCCCACAAATAAAATGACTGTTATGCATACACAACAACATATATCTATGACAGCTTCATAACTTGGAAGTAGTTAACACAGTCTTCAAAGGGTCAATGATAAACAATTGTGGTATATCCATAAGCTAGAGTATTTTTTTTTAATATTTATTTTTTTTTAGTTCTCGGCGGACACAACATCTTTGTTGGTATGTGGTGCTGAGGATCGAACCCGGGCCGCACGCATGCCAGGCGAGCGCACTACCGCTTGAGCCACATCCCCAGCCCCAAAGCTAGAGTATTAACCAGTGATAAAAAGAATGAACTATGGAATCTTGAAAACACATGGATAAAGTTTAAATGGTCATTGCTAAGTGAAAGAAAACAGCATGAAAAGACAACAGGCATTCTGTGGAATTCCAATGACGTGACATTCTGAATAAGTAGAATGGTCAGTGATTACCAGGAACCAGGGCAGAGAGAATGAACAGGTGGAGCATGGAAGATTTTTAGGACAGTGAAAGAATTCTGTATTATCCATATAATAATAGATGCCTGTCATTATACACCTGTCAAAATTCACAGCAAGCTCAACACCAGGAAGCACCCCTAATATAAACTGCAGACTGTAGTTAATAGTAATGTATTGGTATTTCAGTTGTAACAATGTGTAACACCAATGCAAGATGTTAACAAGAGAAGCTATGGGCAGAAGAGAAAGAGAATCTCTACTATCTGCTTGTTTTCGTAAATCTAAAACTGTTCTCAAAAATAAAGTTTATTGTAATATGTGATGGTACATGCCTATGATCCCAGCAGCTCGGGAGGCTGAAACAGGAGGATTGCAAGTTCAAAAAGCCAGCCTTAGCAACTTAGTCAGGCTTTGTCTTAAAATTTTAAAAAATAAACATAAAAAAAAGACTGGAGATGAGGCTCAGTGGGTAAGTGGTCCTGGGTTCAATTCCTAGTACCAAAAATAAATAAGTAAAATAAAGTTTATTATTTTTTAAAAGCTAAAGTTTTTTTTTCCAGACACCCAAAATGCTGAAAGAATTTAGCAACAGAAAGGTACAACATGAAATGTTAAAAAGACTTTTTTTGGCAGAAAGCCAATGGAACCTGGAGGAAATATAGATCAGTGCAAAAGAATGAAGTATGGGTAAGTATTTAAGATTGCTTTCTTAGCGCACCTCAGTCCTGAGGACTCCACTTCTCTATTCACCTCTGTGTGCTGGTGGTTTTATGATGGGCAAGTGTTACTTCTGCAGCTACAATAATGCCAAAATGTTTGTCATCCTCTGAGAGTCATAGACTGCACCTGTTCTTAAGGAGGAGCTCCCAATCCAGACAAAAAGCAGCAGCTGCCCTGGTCATGTCTGCTTAGGATCTGATGGTCAAGGGAGGCCACGTCAGGACTGACTGCAGGAAGGGAGAATAAAAAGCCCCACAAATGATGTGCCAGCAGCTTTCCCCCAAAGTCCTCCTTACTCCCTTCTGCAGGGAAGTAGTGCCACACAAGGACAGGTGTCCCTGGGCCAACCACTCTGTAGCCTCAGCCTCTTCCCTGCCCCACTCTTCTGAAATCTCCTCTTGATGCTTTTTGCTTGAGGTCTCAAGTGTTCTTGTCCTCTGAAATACTTGCCCACAGACATCAAACAGTGCTGTTTTGCCAGTGCCTCAGAGTATGGGGGCAGTAGAATCCTAAGGAAGGGCTTAGAACTGGGCAAGGCTGAGGCCACAGGAATGACAAGATGCAGAATTTGCCACAAGGTGTCACCACTGCCTAGTTACTGTGTTGAGAGGAGGAGACAAATGAGGTCATTTTAAAAAGAAGAAAGTAGTTCTTCCCCATTTTAATCCTTTTGTGGCCAGAGAATGAAATTCACAGTCTTCAGACAGGCGTCAAGGCTTCTCTGCTATACATACCACAGTTACAACAAGCAATGCTGATGGGAAAAATACCAGTGGACTCAGCATGTTCACATGCAGAATGGTTGGGAAGGAGCTCTTAATATTTTCTCATCTTGAACCACTTTAATAGAAAGCAATACACAGACCCTGGAAAGAGCTCTGCAAGGACCAATTTTTTTTTTGTATGAGGGGGATACTGGGGGTTGAATTCAGGGGCACTCAACAACTAAGCCACATCCTCAGCTCTATTTTTTTTTGTGTGTGTGTGTATTTTATTTAGAGACAAGGTCTCACTGAGTTGCTTAGTGCCTCACTTTTTGCTGAGGCTGGCTTTGAACTTGCAGCCCTCTTGTCTCAGCCTCCCAAATTGCTGGGATTACAGGCATGCACCACCACACCTGGCCTACGAAGACCAATTTTAAGCCACTTGTCTATCTCTGATGACCCTGTTGGTACACAGTCCTTACAAAGAAGTAGTATCAGGCTGGGTCATAGTTCAGTGGTAGAGTGCGTGCCTAGAGTGTGTGAGGCCTTGGGTTCCATCCCCAACACTGCAAAAAAAAAAAAAAAGAAAGAAAGAAAGAAAGAAAAGAAAGCAATAGCGTCAGATCAGGCTCAAGGCTGTCCACAGGACTCTGTAGTGGAGATGCCTTGAGGAGTGGTGTGTCTTGAGAGGTAGGAACCAGGGCCTCAGTGGCACTGCTGTCCCAGACAGGAAGCTGGGGTCCCTCCCCTCCCCCTGCACCAGCCTTTCTTCCACTGCCCACTCTGCACTGTCTCTTGTGAATTCTAAGAGGGAAGTTCAAGAGGAGGTAACCTTGGAGATGTAGAGCCATGCCAGAAACCTCTGCCTACAGCTGGAGGTGGACCTGACCTCAGTGGGAGAGGACAGCCACAACAGACAAGTCCACTCCCTGGGCTCCAGGCAGGTGGCACCAGACTTGTGTGTGCAGGGAGGCTGAGGGTGGCAGCTGTGGTCAGAGTGGACCTCAGCTGAGAGCTGCTGATTAGCTGATGAGAGGTACAGAAAAGAGGAAACAGATCTGAGGGCATCCTCTGAGGGTCAGAGGTGGTGAGTGACCTGGGCCACTGGTCTTATGTGATTGGGAGAGGCACACAGCTGCCAGCTCCAAGTTGACTCCTCCCAGGCAGCCCAGGGCCAGGGGCTGAGTGGAGAGACACATTATGGAGGCCCACTCCTTGTCCTGTCCACCCAGACATCCCCAGTGACTCAAGGCTGGCCCTGGACCACCCTCCCCTCCCTCCCTCCATTCACTCTACACTATGTATGTCCACAGCAAGGGCAGATCCTGCTCTGGATGCTGGGGCCCAGGGTTAGTGTGATGAGACTCTGGTCTCAGGAATCTTGGGCTAACAAAAAGCCAGAAGCAAGTCAACAAAACCACCCACTGCCCACTCTCCAGTATTTCACCTCTCACAGAATGTCAGATAGCAACCAAGCCCCACTCACCCCTCACTCCTCCACTCTGCCCTGGTCCCTGGTC